CAAATTCGAAAATAATTTCTATTTTCGAATTTTACTTTTTATTGTTGAAAATCTGCATCAACAATTTCAAAGTTATTTTTTTATTTTTTTAAAGTAATCATGTACAATTATCAAAATATTTTTAATTTTTATTTAAATTATAAACATATCACTGTACATATAATTGTTTTATACATAAAGTCAATTAGAAAAAATATTAAAAATTCTTACACACTTTAATTAACAAATAAAATATTATTATTTCTTAATTTACTACAAAATACCAAAAGATCTCATTCATTTAAAATCGTTGGGAGTATTTCTTTTAGTAGTTTATTCAATGCATTGTATTGTTATATAATATTAGTATATACTAACTGGAGTATTTTATTTTTTTAGGATACGTTCCTTTTGTTGTTGGTTTCTCAAACATCTTGTGGAATGCAAAATCCGAAAGCTACTAAACAATATCTTACGCCTATGCATCATTATTTTCAGAGCTGGTTCTTAGTAGAAGCAATATGAGCAATTGTTCGATACCTTTATTTCAAAAGGGTCAATATTTTTAAATTTTAGCCCATTATTATTAAATATATTAAAATTTTATTAATATTTTATACGATATTTTTCTCAACAATTATTCAATATAATTTTAGTTCTAAAATCAAATTCTAACCAGAATTTTTCTAAAATTAATCATATCTTCGTCGCCTTTAGAGTTCGTAAATATTTTTAAAATCCATTATTATTAGATACATTAAAATTTAATTTAATTTTTTCTCATATTTGTTCTACAATTACCCCATCTAATTCTAATAAATTCTCACCATAATTTTTCTAAAATTAATCTCAAATCCAATCCTAATTGTAATAAACTCTAATCATATTTTTTCTAAAATTAATCTCAAATTCAATTCTAATTCTAATAAACTCTAATCATATTTTTTCTAAAATTAATAATATATTCATCTCCTTTAGAATTTGTACTACTACCTCCGCCCGGCTCTAAGAGTCTCATTTACTTTTTGTGTGTTGATCTTTGAATATTAAATATTATATCAAAATGTAGTACAAATTAAGAAAAAATTGCAAAAATACTTCCATTAGTATTTTATAATTTATACAAAAAATTATACAAATATAAAGATATCTTTAGTGTTAAGTACAATGAGACAAAAGGTAAATGAGACCCCAGAGACGCGCGGGAGGAAGTATTATATTTGTCATTAATAGTATTTTGATAGAACTATATATATATATATATATATTTGTTTACAGGGCCTATCAGTTTTTTTGTCAGAGCCCTAAAAAAATTCGAGACGACCTTGACTGTTTCTCTCAAACAGTGCTAAAGCAAGTTACATATTGTTTAAGTTGGGTTGAAAATAATTTATCTAATTAATATTTGATTTATAATATAATATGTAAGATTAAAAAATTAAAATCATGTGCTTAATTATTTTAATAAAATATAAATAATATAATATTATTTCGTAGAAAATAAAATTTTATATAATACAAATAAATTAAAAAATATTTACCTATAATTAATATAAATTAATTTACAAATAAATAGAGAAATTTAAATATATATATATATATATTGAAAAGATACATAAAAACGAAATTTGATTAAATTTTAAGTAGATCTTATATGATGTAACGTATTTTTTTTAAAAAAATAGTAGTATAGCTATTTTGTTTGAAATGCCAACCAAAATATACCTATACAATTCACAACTTATTAATTTTATAAATTTAATTCAAAATATATATACATATATTTTTATTTATTACATTACATATTTATATTTATTACTTATATTAATTATCAAATCAATAAATACTTAAAATTCAAAATGTACATAAAAAAAAAAAAAAAAAAAAAAAAAAAAAAAAAACAACTTCACCAAACTAGCTTAAAATTCAAAATTTAAACAAAATTTAAATCAAATTTTTTTGCACTTTTTTCTAAATAAACATACCGATGAGTTTCTTTGCCAAACTAAATTATTACCAATATCATTTCCAATATAACATTTCATTGTATTTTAGTAAAAGTGCATAATAAAAATACACCTTGTATTTTATTTATTGCATGAAATTTCTTTGTGTTAATATAAAATTTGCAGAAATCACCATCTTCCTCCGAAACTGATATTTAGTCGTAAATATGGATCCAATAATGCAAGTTTTATACAAATAAAAAAAGTAAATATATTAAATAAATTTTTTAATATAATTAATAAATAAATAATTTTCATTTTATAGTTTCTTATAGATAAATTATTATTTGATTTTTACAAAAATTATAAATGAAGGATTATCATTTATTTATTTATTAAAAAAAAGACTATTTAAGACATCTTACTGTTTTTTTATTTGTATAAAACTTTCATAATTTAGGTCTGTATTTAGAACCAAACATCAACTTTTAACAAAAAGATGTTTTGTGCAAACTTTAAATTAACATAAAAAATTTCACACAATAAAAAAATACGAAATGTTTTATGCATTTTTAATAAAAGACCCTTTGTTATATTATACTTATTTAAAATATAATTAACAAATATAAATTAATTTAATTAACTACATAATATATACTCTCTTCGTCCGACATAATTTGTCTCTATTTTCTATTTTCGTCCGTCCTGCATAATTTGTCATTTCCTTCTTTGAAAATATAATTATATACTTTAATCACATTTTAAATTTTAAATTTTTAGAATTCTTTAATTTTTATTAAACTATTTAGTTATCTTAATCTTAATTTATAATTATTTTTACTATACAATAATTATTTTTACTAATACATTTTTTAATTACTTATTAATTATACTTTATCTAAATTTTCGTGTCTACAATAATGCACACATATTATATGAAACGAAGAGAGTAACATATACATCATGTAGACTTACTCAAAACCTCTCTAGTTATATCAATCATCTAAAAAAACAAATATTTTTATCTATATTACTCTATTTTTTTTTATAAAATTAATTTCTATTAAATCATAGATAAATATATATATTGATTTGTTATATAAATACATATTTTAATTTTTTTATTATATATATATTAATTCATTAAAATATCAATATTACTATTCATATAATAAATAATAAAATAATATTATAAGTCTTTATCATTTAATTCAATAAATTTCATAATACGTCTATTGAAATAGGACGCAGAGACTATGTAATATATATATATATATATTATTTTTTATTATAAAGTACTTTTTTCGTCATGCAAATGTGTGCTCATTTGATCGAGTACAAATTTTAATAAAAGTGGGTAATAATTGTTACTTTTTTTATATTAAAAAAAGTACAAAAATATAATAATTTTTTACTTAAAAATAAAACGAGAATATTTTTCAATAACAATCCAAAAAAAAAGTGAGCATATATTTAAACGGTGAGTATTATTTTTTAAAATTATAATATAATTATTCATTTATTTACAGGTAAAAGAAATAAAAAATTAAAACTAGAACACTAATAAACACACCCCATTATTGTTCATGGAATCAAAAGCATTTTTTTGCTGAATCTTTTTCTTGGCCCGTACCATTCTGTCTGTAAAATCCTTTTGCTGATAAGAACCAAGTTTGAGATGTGAATGTGTACAAAAATGATGGTTGGTTCTGTCGTCGTCTTGTAAGAATGGGCAGTGGCAGTGGCAGTGACGGTTTTGACGGTGAATAGAATAAAATACTCTCTTAGGGTGTGTTTGTTTGAGGTATTGGATTTTAAATTTATTATTCATCTTATTTTTTTTTTCTAAAAAATATGGAATTAAATATCTATTTTTTATTTGTTATATTATACTAAAAATCAATTTTACATTTAAAACATCATATCAACATCTATTTATATTACATCGTACAACTATTCAAATTCAAAATTTTTACTATTTAAATCATAACTCAAAATCCAAACCCCCAAACAAACACACTAATCCATTTTAAAATGTATAAGTGTTTGTTTGGTATTTGGATTTTGAATTGAGATTTAAATAGTAAAAATTTTAAATTAAAATAGTGGTACGATGTGATATAAATATGTGTTGATGTGATATTTTTAATGTAAAATTAATTTTTAGTATAATAAAAAAATAAAAAATAAATATTTGATTTGACGTTCTAAAAAAAATAAAATTGAATGAACAGTACATTTGGGATAAAATCCCCCGAACAAACACACATTCTTAGAAAATAACGACAATATTTTTTTATAATAACTAAAAAAAAAAAAACCAGATATGAATTTTAACTATAATCTATAATAGGAACTAGGAAGAAAAATTATTTCAATAACTTAAGGGTGTGTTTGTTTGAGGGTTTGGATTTTGAGTTAGGATTTAAATAGTAAAAATTTTGAATTTAAATAGTTGTATGATGTGATATAAATAGGTATTGATTTGATGTTTTAAATATAAATTGATTTTTAGTATAATATAGAAAATAAAAAATAGGTGTTTAATTTGATGTTTTTGAAAAAAAAAATGGGATGAACAATGGATATAAAATCCAATCCTCAAACAAACACACCCTAAGTTGCAATAATGTCACGACTGAATGGATAAGTGGGGCCAAAATAAAACTTTCAATCAAGGGTTTTCCCAAATCTCTTACCTTAAAAGCGACGAAGATCAAGATTAACCCTCCCCTTTCTCTATAAAACACGATCAAATACAGAAAAAAGTTCATTTCCCCTTTTCTGCCAATCAAAAAGAAATCGAAAAAGATCCCAATCAAAGAATTATTATTTCCATTTCCAGGTAATCTAACGCAGTCGGATTTTCGCATAAGAAATGTCCAGTGTCTGTTGGTGGTATCGGTTTCGATTCTTGACTTTTTTGTCCGAGTGTAATATATGTAATGATTTCGTGGCTGCCCTGCCTAGGTGTATGTATGGATCTTGTTTGCTGATGATAAGGTTGTTATTCTGTTTACAACTTTTTAACATGTTGAAGATAATCGTGTCCTCAGCAGGGTTTCGATTTATACCCCTCAATTGCGTTTATAAGTAGGCCTGTTGAGGCCCCCAAGTTCTTAGCAAGAAATGGGCTCGAACACGGCCGTGTTGCTTGTGTTCCTGGCCGTGTTCTGCACAGCCTACGCTGGTTGTGCGGCACAGACAGCTTGGCTGTCTGTGAATGCTTCGGGCAATTATGGAAGAAAGATTTCTCCGAGGATGTTTGGAATAAGCTTTGAGGTTAGCTCGATGGATTTGTTGGTTTAAATGGTTCGGCATTGTGGAGTCAGTTGTTTTTCCATGTTTGGCAGGAGATCAATCATTCCGGCGCCGGGGGACTTTGGGCGGAGCTTGTCTGCAACAGAGGTTTGATGATAATCTTGAACTTGTGTCGTTGAATTATGTCGATCCGCCTGGCTTTTGATGATCATGAATGATTCTGTTGTAGGATTTGAAGCTGGAGGCCAGAACACGCCGTCCAATATTGATCCTTGGACTGTTGTTGGTGACGAATCATTGATTGATGTATCTACGGACCGCTCGTCCTGTTTTGAAAGGAATAAGGTTGCTCTAAAAATGGATGTTTTGTGCGATTCTGCCGAGGCTGCCAATGCTTGTCCGGCTAGTGGCGTTGGTGTTTACAACCCCGGGTTTTGGGGGATGGTAATCATTTTGTTTCGATGATGTTTTCTAGTTTCTTACCTTCATTGAAGATCCATCCTTTCATGTAATAAAACATGCTCGCTCGTTTATTGCTCTGGTTTCAGAACATCGAACGAGGAAGCGTGTATAAGGTTACACTTTATGTCCGTGCGATGCAACCGGTTGAGATGTTGGTTTCGTTTGTTGGTTCGAATGGGTTGCAGACGTTGGCGACAGCTGATATAATGTAAGAATGGCACAAAAGAATGTCGAGAGTCCTTCTATGTTTTCGTCATTTATTGTTATTGTGTAGAATCGACAATGCTTCGAACTGGACGAAGAAGGAGGTTATGTTGGAAGCGAAGGGAACGGATCCGAATTCAAGATTGCAGGTGACGACAACGAGAAAGGGTACAATATGGCTCGATCAAGTCTCGGCCATGCCTTCGAGCACATACAAGGTTTGTTGTCGACTCGAGAAACCTGCAATCCCGCGGCATGTATCGTTTTCGATTGTATTGAGTTCCTTCAGAAACCTAATCTTGCAGGGACATGGATTTCGACACGATCTTTTCGACATGCTTGCTGATCTAAAGCCGGGATTCTTTCGATTTCCAGGTACTTCTTGTGTAAGAAAATTGTCCAACAAACCTTGTTTACGTCAAACTAAGAAACTATATGGTACTTTTGCATCTTCATAGGCGGTTCATTTGTCGAAGGAGACCGGTTGCAGAATGCATTTCGATGGAAAGAAACTGTAGGGCCTTGGGAGGAAAGACCGGGACACTTCGGGGACGTCTGGCAATATTGGACCGACGATGGCCTCGGTTTCTTCGAGTACCTGCAAGTAACGTATCTTACATCTCGATTCTGCTCGCAACATTAAAAAAAGCTCACATTTTTCATCATCTACAGCTCGCAGAGGATTTAGGCGCTGCCCCGATTTGGGTGTTCAACATCGGTATTACCTCTCGTTTATCGTTTTACTCGATATAACTCTATCGATAGTAATAGCCTTGATCATTTTTGTTCGTAGGTATCAGCCGTAACGATCAAGTTGACACGCTGATTCTTTCGCCTTTCGTGCAAGTAAGTTGAACGGGCTTGTAGTAATTGCGATTGTTCTGTATCTGAAAAGGTTAGTTTTTGAAGTTGTTTTCTTCGGTTGTAGAATGTTGTTAATGCTATTGAGTTTGCTCGGGGAGACCCGACTTCTAAATGGGGTTCGATTCGAGCTTCCATGGGTCACCCGGAGCCTTTTGACTTGCGCTATCTGGCTTCCGGGAATCAAGATTGTTGGAACAAGAACTATCGTGGTAGGTATACATACACATACGTATGCGCATGCTCGGTTACGAGTAGTTCAATGATTCAAACTCGATTCATTAGGTAATTACATGAAGTTTTACACGGCTATAAAAGATGCTTATCCGGACATCCAAATAATCTCGAATTGCGATGGATCTGTTGCTCGGTTGGATCACCCCGCGGATTTGTACGACTTCCATGTAAGATTCTTTCTATTGGTTGACTATATAATAATTAATGATACGCAACCTTTCAAGCTTAAATTTTTAAGTGCGATGGTCATTTAACACTTTCATTTGTCTAATGTTGTGCTATCGTGATAAGGTTTATACGAATGCGTATTCCATGTTTTCGATGGCTAGCTACTTTGATCAAAAGGCACGAGTTGGCCCCAAGGTGCACGTCGAACCTCTTCTTGATCGCTTTTACATTTTGTGACTTTTGCACTAACGGTTTTCACTGTTAGGCATTCGTGAGCGAGTATGCGGTGAATGGCAACGATGCAGGTAACGGGAATCTTTTGAAAGCGCTCGCCGAAGCTGGATTTCTTCTTGGCCTCGAGAAAAACAGGTACTTATGATCTCAACATGATATTGAGTTGAATATCAAATCTATCGGTTCTATTCGATCTTTTCTTTGAGTCTCTCGATTATCCATTATCAAGACTACAAACCCCATCTATTTACGGGAAAGCATACTTGCTCAAGTTTTCAATCTTGAACATGTTTGTTTTGCAGCGATATCGTGGAAATGGCAAGCAATGCTCCTCTCTTTGTGAATAACAACGATAGGAGGTTTGTACGTAGTTTGTCGTCTCCATCGCTTCTATTCTCAAATCTTCTTGTCGAATGAAGTTGCCCTAAAATCAAAGGATTCATTCCCTCGTTTCGTGCTTTAGGTTCAATCCGGATGCTATAGTGTTCGACTCTTCAAGAGCATACGGTACGCCAAGTTATTGGATGCAACATTTTTTCAAAGAATCCAACACCGCCATTCTATTCGATTCAAAGCTCCAAGCCCCTTCGTCAACTTCTCTTATTGCATCCGCAATTTCTTGGATAAGTCCCGACAATAATAAACGCTACATAAGAATAAAGGTACACGACAATCTACCCCAAACTTTTTACACCTTAACCATATAGGTAAGATAGATCAATAGCAATCTCGCAAGAAAAAACGACTTAATGTTTTCTTAAGACTTGAAGAAATCGATAACTATCTACCCGATCTCATCTAGGTTGTCAATTTGGGAAGCAATGTTGTCACTCTAAGATTTTCGATCGATGGCTTGGCCCTGAATTCGATAGAAGCAAACGGGTCGAGAGTTACTACGATGACATCTACTAACAAGATGGCCGAAAATTCTTTCAATGCCCCGATGAATGTAGGTTTTCGTTATAGAATTTTCAAGCTATCGAGCAAAAATATATATTTAACAAGATGATGCTCGAACCTATTGATTATGCAGGTGGTTCCGGTTACGGCTCCCCTCAGAAACCCGAGCAGCAAGATGAATATCGCGTTGCCTTCGTTTTCTTTAACTTGCGTCGACTTGTTAACAAATACGAATGCTCTCCGGGTTTCACATTCCGACGCTGCTCTTCGAACGTCGATGTAGTCGTAATTAGGACATAAACAACTGTTTCTCGATTCTTATTGGAATTAAATCAGCATGTGATGCACAATATTTGTGCTATGTTACCATGTGTTGTGTAAATTCTTATTATGTATTGTTGTATTGTAGTCTCTCCAATATATTTGCATATGAAGCATTGTTTAAAGATGAAATAAGTATATTATTTAATGAGATTATTAATTAATTTGATGGTTTTTTTTTTAATCGGAATTTTGATGTTTGATTAAGAATATCGTTATTTATGGTCATTATAATGTTCTACATATTGATTGGACATATAAAAATAAGTATCAAACTTAATTTATTGTCACCCAAACGGGATAATCTCCGTTTATTACTGTTATAATTTATAGTATATAATTGTCAAAATAGACTAGCTGACACATTAGCTCGTAGATAAATAGGTTGTTTTTAAACTGTTGTGTTTTTTAATAGTAAAATTTGATTTTAACAAAAAATAATATAACTAAACTTTTAAAAAAATTTATATTGAATCGAATAAAAAATAAAACACAAGAAATGCAAAGATAAGTTCGGATCAACCCGCACAACCCTAGAACATACATCGGAGATGTGAAAAGGAAACACAGGCACGAGCTCGACCTAGAACAACCTCGACTAACCGATTTAACTCACGCACACCAAACATTAACCACAATCACTCGCACAATCAACTCTCGCCCATACACGAATGAAAATTGCACAAATATCTCATTCTTACACTAAGAAACACTCGCCAACAAACTTAGAGTAAAACCCCTTACACAAAATCCTCAATCGATCGAACATTAATTGAGAGGAAGAAGACGAAGAGCAGAGAAGAAAAATCGCGATTTGAATGACTCGATGATAATGAATCTCGCGAGCAGCAACTCAGATTAGATCTTAAACACATAAATCAATTAGTGGACTGGGCCAAGGAACTGGGCCACGGCTTCTCAAGATTGGGCTTTAATATACAAAGGCCTCGTTACAAATCAAGGCCCAAAACCCAACAAACTCTCCACCTTTTTTAGTATGATAAAATGAGAGACGCCTAGGAGAATCATTAGACCTGTCAAAACGGATTAGCGTGGTGGATTTGACTCAAACGCACCATAATTTGTAAATAAGCGGATTGCTTGTGCGCCAACCCACGATGGAGTGGACCAAAATTTCATCAATCCAATCCAACCCAGTAGGTGGCGAACTATGCGGGCTAGTCCACGGACTTTTTTTTTTAAAAAAAAATATTAATATTATAAATTTTTCGTAGTTAATATTAAAAATTAATTAAAAATACTTTTATTTCTAAATAATAAATATTTTAACATAAATAACAAATATACAATTTTCAATTCTAAAAATATTATTAATTAGTATATTTAAAAAAATTAATAATAAGAAATATTTTAAAAATAAATCACAATTAATTTTATGAATATGTGAATAGATTTTAGAATAAAAAAAATATAAAACAATAAAATAGAAAATGAACAAAGCAAATTATCAAAAATTGAAACAAATAAGAGTGATATTAATAATAGAGTTAGAGAAGAAAAACAATCATGTATACAATATTGATTAATTTATTTAAGCTAATGATAATATAAATTATATTTTATTCATCTGAACTAAAAATAGCTCTTTTCAGTAAATTAAAAAATAATAATGTTATTTATTAAATAAAGTGTACAAGATAATTTTGATATTTCTTACTCTTTGTACTTATTTATAAATTAATTGTATTTATAATGGTATATTTATAATTTACATAAAATTAAAATATATTCTGATATTAATATTTAATTACTTTTATTATAATTTTTTAATGTGACAGTAAAAAATGGTAAAAAAATATATTTAATTGAGACGGGTGAGTACTAATTATTATATTTACTAAGCCCACGGGCTAATCCACTCTCAACCTACGGCTTGCGTGGGTTGGCCCATCTAGGCCCGTATTTTAACGGGTTTAAAAAATCACAACCCAACTTTCTTTAAAAGTTAAGCGGGGTGGGCCAACCTGACGGACTCAACCTATTTTGACTAGAGCCATAAAAAAAAAAACAATCTTTCACGCCCAAAATAAAGTAGAGATTTGTTATATATTTTGGCCGGTGATTATTGAGGCCTAAAACGCATACAACCGACCCGCCCAATTAAAGCCCAGACCTGGAAATCCGCTACCCGACCCGGATCTTTGAAAAATTGTCGGATCGTGGCTTCATATAGGCTGCCAGGCTTTGAACCGGTATGGACCGTTCAGGTTGAACCGGTCTGATCAAATCTATATATATTACTGATCCCTGAACCGGTTCACTGTGACATAGAACATAACTCATTCACATCGCGATTCTCTCTGAAGCCCTAGCGCCGACGCATTCCGATTGATCTTTGCCTACGTTCTCCGGTGAATCTGTCCGGCGATTTGGAAAGTTCTCCTTCCCATTCAACTCGCGTCTTGCCCCTTGGAGTTTCTACAATTTGGTTTGTCGATTTGTGCCTTATTGTTGGTTCGCGGTAATATTGTCTATGATGGTGTTGGTTCGCGGTGTAATATTTTTGCGATGGTATTAGGCGAGTCATTTATGCCTTGAGTTTTGGATGTGTGTTCGGTGTCGATTTTGTTAATTTGAGGGTAAATTGAGTCCGAATCAATTTTGCTTCGGTAATAATAAAAATTATTTTAAGTTTTGTTCGATATCCATTTGATTTCGTGAGAATATAGCTTATTGGATCTTGGCATTAGTAATAACATAGACTAATTCATAATAGAACGTAATAAAAATTAGTAGGTTCAATTCAATCTATCTCCATGTAAGGAACTAAACGAGCCAAACTATGAATTTTTTAACAACAAAGTGTGTTTGTTTTAAGGATTTTGATTTTGAGTTAGATTCGAATAAATATTTAGCATGATATAAATAAGAATTAATATAATATTTTAAATATAATATTAATTTTTAATATAATATACAAAAAATAACAAAATAAATGTATGATTTGATAATAATATTTTATGGTAAAAATTAAATCAAATCACCCAAATAATCACACTATATAAAAATATTAATAAATTAATATTTAAAATGTAATTAAAAGTAGTTTCATAACTCAAGTTTAATAATAAATAAGTATTTAAAAACAAGTAATTAATATAAAAGCAATTCAAAATTCTAAATATCATTTTTTCTTGTATTTAAAAAATTAATAATAGCACATATTTAAAATAAATATATACTATAAAATATGAAACATTCACAAAATAAATTATCAAAAATTAAAATAGAAAAAGAATGATATGAATGATTTTTCTTAAAAAAAAGAACAATTTAATTGATTTAACTTAACGTGAAAATATTTTAATAAATTGATTTAATTAATTATAATCTAAATAATAATAATATTATAATATTTCATTCGTCTAGATCAGATGATCATTTTAATTAGAGATCAAATGACTATTTCAATTAGAGACATCATATTTTAGACATAGTAGATTAGTAATTTATTAATAATATATTATATTATTTTATTATTTCTTTATATGAGTAGCATTTTGTATTTTAAATATATTTAATATTATATTTCAATAATTCAATAGAAAATAAAATTTTATATAATACAAATAAATAAAAAATATATTTATTTATTATTACCATAAATTAGTTTTATAAAAAAATAGAGAGTTTTTTTAAAATAGATAAAAATATTTATAAATTGAATTGATAGAAATAAAGATATTTTGAATGTCTAATTGTAAGCCTAAAATTAAATAGAAATTTAATTAAATTGATTTATTTTTGTTAAATAGGTTGAAAATTAATAAATTTATCAAAAATAAAAAATAGTCTAAATAGATAAAAAAGAAAAAAAATGGCCCTCTGTGGCTAAACGAATGGAGCATTAGTGTGTGTTAGTTCGAGGGATTTTTGGAGATTTATATTTTTCACATAAAATTTTTTTCGAAAAAATATTATATCAAATACCTATTTTTTTATATTGTATTAAAAATTAATTTCATATTTAAAATATCACATTAATATTTATTTATATCATATTTTCAAATTCCAATTTAAAATTGGAAATGCGCAAACAAACATCCACTTAAATTTAGGTGTTCTCGGCTAATCTACTTCCTAACTTACAAGTGTATTCTCTTGAAAAATGAGGTGGTGCGGCCCGGTCCATTCAACCGGCCCACCCATTTTTACGGTTCTATATATATGTTGATCTAGTGATCTAGGGTTTCTGCGCGCCACTTTTCTCTGCTCTTCGTCTTCCTCGCGCACGCTTTAGAGGATTACGAGCGTAGTAAACGAATGGAGAACCAAGGGGAGTATCCCAGACCATTATTCAAGGACATTAGAAGGTATTACTGCGAGTTCTGCGGGATTTGCAGGTCGAAGAAATCTCTTATCGCTTCGCACATCATCGCCAACCATGAGGTGTGTTTATTTGCACAGTTTTGTCTGCTATGATTGGATTTGGCGGCGTTACTATATGTTTTTGAGTAATGGAGTAAATTAGTATTGTGTTGTTTGCCGGATTGCGATACTGTTGTGCTTCAGGCTGGGGCGGGCGTACTGTTCGAAATCTACAGGAATTAGAATCATCCAATATTTACCGTGTCAAATAATTAAGATAAAAACAATAATAATAAATCTAGCCTGATTTCTTGTTAGTAATAGGATCAAGACCTTCAAATTGATTGAAGAGATTGTGGTTTTAAGCTTTGGACACTCTTTCAAGAACAATAAGTTATTTCCACATAATATATGGAAAAGTAAAACTGCCTCTATTAACACAATCTTATTTATAATATATTATTAATTGGCCCCGGCTCACATAAGTGACTAGGACTTATTAAGAAAAATAAATTTAATAAATCACCTTTTAAACTTAATTTAATTGATAGCTCAAACACTTTACATTAACCAACAATTGAATTTTTAATACAACATATACTTTTAGCTGCCACAACGGGTTTGACTAGCTTTGCATGTCATTGACTGGTTTTGTGACTTGTAGGAAGAAATGAAGCAAAAGGAGATGAACAAAGAAGATGGAGCTGAGAAGAAGCTGAATGTTTGTGAAGAATGTGGTTCCATTTTCCAAAAGCCGGCACATCTGAAGCAGCATATGCAGAGCCATTCACTTGAGGTCAAGCTTTTGATTCATTTCTGTATTAATAAAGTGTATAGTTTTATAAATTCAAATTTTAAGTCTACGATCTTCATGGAGTTTCCATAGCTGTAAGAATCTTTAGTCAATTGATTGTGTGATAAAAGAGAATTTGATCTTAGAATGCAGTGTACGAATGTGAGTGGCCTGATTTGTGCATTTATGCAGATATTTTCTCTATTGAAAAAAATACAATCTTGCAGATTATAATAAGGTGGACAACGATTTTAATTGCTTTGGCGTGAAGCATTGGATCCCACATAAAGAACTCCAAAATGCGAGAGGCAACAATACTGTCTTGATTGGAATAGTACCAGGCGGGAGACTGCCTGGGAAGCTCCATCAAGTGAGCCTCAATCACGCCTACTGCACGGGAGGTTTGGGGAATTTTCCGTTTGTTTGTTAAACCAAATTTCAAGTATTTTCTGTGATCAAAACACTGGACGATTTGTTTCTGAGGATGGTTTGTTTGGTACAGAGACCCTTCACATGTTCGGTGGATGATTGCCCCTCCAGCTTTAGAAGGAAGGACCACTTGACAAGGCATTTGCTTCAGCATCAAGGGAAATTATTTGAATGTCTTTTCCCTGAGTGTAAAAGTAGATTTACAGTTCAGGGTAACATGGCACGGCATGTAAAAGAGATTCATGATGGTTATGTCTCTCCTGTCGAGCACCATCCCAAGGAGCACAAATGTCCTGAGCCCGGGTGTGGAAAGGTGTTCAAGTATCTATCCAAATTACAGAAGCACGAGAATTCTCATGGTAATTTCCTTCGATCTTGGTACTAATTAAACCATATTATCAATTGTTTGTTGATCGGGATGTGTTTCATGAAATTATGTTGTCGATTAATTGGAAATTTGGTAGAAGGTGCTAGCTGAATTATTATGGTTTTGTTTAGATACGAGTTTTGGAATTTTGGATAGTTTTGGGAATAAAAGTATGTTTACATAAGACAGTTTTGAAACTTTTGGTACTATTCATTAAAAAAAAACAAACATGGTAATTACTTTTTATGAGATGCATTTACTGGCTATTTCTGACCATTTGGTTCCCGGGCTAATTGCAGTTAAGTTAGATTCGGTGGAGGCATACTGTGCAGAGCCAGAATGTATGAAATATTTCAGCAACGAGAAGTGCCTGAAGGAGCATATCCGGTCATGTCATCGGTATGTTAGCTGTGAAAAGTGCGGCACTAAGCAGCTGAAGAAGAACATTAAGCGACACATTCGAATGCATGAAGGAGACATTTCCACAGAGAGAATCAAGTGTAGTTTTGATGGATGCTCCCTAACATTTTCAAATGTAAGCTCCACTCTACCCTATAATCCATAAGTTCTTCGAGAGCAGAAGTTATCATTAATATACTGTCACTACCGCAGCCTTCGAATCTCAGCCAGCATGTGAAAGCAGTGCACTTTGAGCTTGTGCCATTTATCTGCCACGTCACGGGTTGTGGCATGAGATTTGCATTCAAACACGCCAGGGATAGACACGAAAAATCTGGGATCCATGTATTTACTCCAGTAAGTGATTTCTGTCGTTGTCGATCCATTAACTTGCTTGCTTAAGTGGCGGCATGTGTGAGACTTGCCCCTTGTTCAGGGGGATTTCCAAGAGTCTGATGAACAATTTCGATCAAGGCCAAGAGGCGGCAGGAAAAGAAAGTACCCTGCTGTCGAGTCGCTGTCGCGAAAGAGGGTAGTTCCAGTTCCACCGGAGATTAGCATGAACGGGCAAGATAGCCACCCGGCGTCGCCCATCTCTCAAGCGTGAAGAGGAGGGAAAGAACAATTCTCAATCAGACATGATTCTTGCTTCTTGTAACAAGATAGATATATATATATATATGTGTGTGTATGTAATACAAATACATCAACAATACTAATATTAATATGATCCGTTTTGCCTACCAGCTGCTTTCGGGACTCATAATTTATTGTTGAATCAAGGCAACTTACTTTTTCTTTTTCTTTTTCTTTTTTTATATAATAATTATTATTTTCCACGCAATTGTGCCAACAAGGATTAAAGTCCAACTCACTATCCATGTCACCATTTTTGTAAGTGAAAAATAAAAAATAAATTCTGACATGGCTCACCCACAACTGAGTACTCTACCCCGGGCAAAGAATTCCTAAAATCTTTGTATTTTTTACATTATTAAATATTTCTTATATTCAAAATTTTTTATATATTTTAATCATGGCAAAGAATTCCTAAAATCTTTGTATTTTTTATATTATTAAATATTTCTTATATTCAAAATTTTTTATATATTTTAATCATATTTTATTCTTATAATATTTAATTAAAATAAAAGTATTAGTTTTTATTGGTAAAATAATTTTAAAAATATTTTATGTATCACATTTACATAATAATTAAAATTTAAAAATTAAATTTAATTACAAAATATATAATATTACAATATATTTTTCAAATAAAATAATTAGCCGATAGAGAATATAGACGTGAAATATAGCCGTTAGGAATATAACTCTTGGAGAATATAACAATTGGAAATATAACTCGTTAAGGAATATAATCGTTGGAGAACATACCCCTTGGAAAATATAGACATTGCAATGTTTATTATAAATACCCCATATTCTCACTTCATTTCTTCAACATTATCTCCACATTTTCTTCTCTCTATAATTGCTTCTGAATTTCACATTTCTTACACTTATCTATAGGTTGGGATCCGAATTTTCAAAATTCATCAAACTCTCAAGATCTTCAAAATCCTTTCCAGTTTTCTAGTTTTATGAAAATGCTAGGAAATCAACTTATGTCCCCTACATCTAATGCCCTTTTCAACAATTCAATCTTTCCCCACATTATCAAATTCTTTCAATTTTTTATTCTCCAAACTTTCAAGCATTCAGAAGTTCATCGTCTCCTCAATTCATGATGCACGCCACACAAATAATAGGCGCCCTTCAACATAACACACCTATTAATTTAGCATATGCCAATGTGCCTGACAACACAAAAGTAATGATATGAGGAAGTTGTAGAGTTGGATCGAATAACAACTTTTGATTAGTGAATGGCTGAACACTAGTAAAGATGCCGTAACAAATACTGACCAATCAAGTAGTGCTTCTGGAAAAGAATTGCATCATATTACATAGAAAACAAGCCCAAAAATCTAACGAACAAAAAATTTTACTCAATGTAAAAATCATTAAGTGCGTGCAAAAGTTTGTTGAGTATTATGAGGAGGCTACTAGAAACATACGCAGTGGGCAATCAACCACGGATGTCTTCAATGCAACAAATGAGATATATTCAACTGACAACAAAAACAAAGACTTCATTTACGTAGATACTTGACATATACTCATAAATGAGCCTAAATGGATGACAAGTTACTGCGAATAATTTCATAACAGTGGTGGAAGTTCAAAGTGTACAAAAACAACGAAAGACGGTGGTTACTTGGATTCGTGTCCGACAACACTATGCTTTGACAGAGATGACCCAACTCTTCGCTCGTCTACCTGGTATAAAAGCAAGTAAGAAGAGGAGAAACAAATGCTAAACGAGGGTTTTAATTCAAGCGTCTATTGAAAACCATGAAAAATTTTATTTGAAAAACATTGAATTTAGCTCGAGTATGGAGCAACAACTTGAAAAGATAGAAGCACTTTTGAAAGCTAAAAGGTTGGACAAAGTGACGAGAAAAATTGAAAGGAAAGCTAGATAATTAGAATTTAATTTGGTGCAAGCGAAAATTACCCAGAAGAAAATGAATATGCTCGTGATGTTAATAGCTAAAGGTAATAATTTTACTGAATTTGAAGAAGAGATGAAATATAGGTGGACATGGGAATGTCTTCCATACGTTTACATTTAAATTATTAATATTTTAATATTTTCAATTATTATCTATATTGTGTGTAATTTTAATTAAGTCATGTAAGTATGTGTTTAAATTTATAAATGTTTTCATGTAATTTCAATTATTATTTGTATTGTGTGTAATTTTAATTGAATCACGTACTTAAACAAAAATTATAGTTAAATTAATAAATATCAAATTAAATATTTAGAAAAATATTCATTAAAAAATTAATATAAACTATTATATTTAAAATTATAATTATTAAATAAAAATTTTATACACCAAAATACAAACACAAATTTTTATATATACCAAAATACAAACATAAAAAATACAAATATTACTCCCTCCGTCGCACTTACCATGTCCATGTTGTTGTTTTTGTCTGTTCTACATAAAATGATTACTAATACATTATATATAATAGGTTAATTTCACTAATACATTCTTAATTATCTACTAATTATATTTATCCTAAATTATCGTGTTTACTAAGACATCCAATGTGAGACGGAGATAGTAATATATATATATTATAAATAAATAAAAAAAGCTTATATAGCTTGAGTATTCTGATGGAAGAACTGCTCCCAAGCATGGATCAGTGCTTTGTGTCAGAAGCGTTTGTTTTTTTTTTTTTCTTCAAAAAATGTGACTAGGGGATTCTTGATGGGCATAACCCTTTGTTGTGGGCGACCTTAGAGCACATTCAACGACACATAAATAGAAGAACTTCTCCTCTAGACCTTTTTCTTTTTATCCTTCGAAAAATCTCATTTCTATTGATTTAAATTTCAACCATAAAATTTTGATTAAAAATCGAGTCAATCTTTGTGCAGACGACGGCATCATCAACAGTTTCTTTTCTCTATTCTTTCTTCTTTGCCCTTCTCTCTCTCCATCTCTCTTCTTTGCCCTTCTCTCTCCTCACTCTCTCCCCAATCGCGGACTTTGGTGTTCTCTTCTCCCCAAACCCATTTATATTCCCGTCGCCGACGATCGCTCTTCTCCCTCTTGTTGTCATCTCACCGTCCCTATGCCCGGTCGATGAAATGATTTTCTTCAATGGCGACGAAGGTATGGTAAACTTTGCAGTAATTTCTTATTTTTATGGTTCTTCTTTTATTTTCTTCTATTATTTTTTTCTTAATGTCTGAAAGATTTGAATCGATTGTTTTAGTTAAGGTTTAAAATTTTGTGTTTGGATTTTTTACAACAAAATCGCCGGTTGGGATGAAAGATTTGGTGACGATTGGGTGTGAATATTGTGTGCTAGGAATATTGCGAGAAAAAATTACAAAGAACCGAAAGAAAAGAGCTACTGTGTTTGTTTGGAAAATAAAAATCGATACATATCACATTAGAATTAACACGTCTGATACACTTAAGCAAATGTAGGCTTTTAACCTGCCCACAAGTGTATGTGCTCTTAGAGCACAAGCAGCAACTTTTATGCATAAAAGGTCTTTGTGCTTCATTTTTTTAGTTACTATGCAGTTCATCTACAATAATTTTATTTCAATCATAAATTTCAATTTTTATTTTAAAAAGTATATTTCCTATATATATTCCTCTTTTATATTATTTTATATAAATTTTTATATTTATAAATTACACTCAAACTTTAATTTATATTTGCGTTAGATCTATACACATATAATTTATATTTTATTTAAAAATTACATATATGAAAAGTAATATTTATAATTAATAACTATTAGAAATAAAATAATAAAATTACATATCACTTTAAAAAAAAAATTAAACATTATTTTAAAAAAAATAAAAATTATATCACTTTTCGAAAAGTAAAATTATACATTATTGTTTTAAAAAATAAAATTATATACTTTCCGAAAATTTAAATTATCTATCACTTTTAAAAAATAAAATTATATATTATTTTTCAAAAAAGTAAAATTACATACAACTTTTTAAAATATAACATTATATATTATCTACTAAAAAATTAAAATTACACAATACACTAAAAAAACACCAAAAATACAAAAAACACCACAACAGCTCTACTCAAAAAATGGAGTGGAGGTATAGTGTATGGAGTAAGACTATCTCCAACACATTACTTCATTTTTACAATAGTTACAGTAAAGTTAATTTACAATAATTTTATTCAAACCATAAATTTCAATTTTCACTATAAAAATATATTCCCTATATATTCTTCTTTTATATTATTTTATATAATTTTTTATATTTATAAATTACATCTCAATTTTAATTTGAATTTGAGGATGGATTAGGGGCCCCTCCCCCCAATTTTGGCGCAAACAGCGGCCTAGAGTTGCTACAAATATTCAAAAAATGGGAGGATTTGGGGGTGGGTTGGAGCCCCTCCCCATTTTTTTTGTACAACCCACTGCAGTGGGTTAAAGTTGATTTTACAATGACTTACATAAAAAATAAAAAATAATTTATTGGCTTCCAAACAACTTTTTTTGCGTCAGGTGTCTCTAAGAGGTTCCTAATTTTCCCTTTCACAGATGAGCCATCGTGTAATTTTTTTGTTCAACGGGATGGAAGAAAAAGAGCCGTCACAAGAAAAAGACATCAATAAACGAGTCATTGCTGCTAAACTTTCAAATCTACCATATATCTTAAGTAACCAAGCTTTTTAAATGGAATTTATTCCAAATCTAAAACTTACATACAATAGTTACTTGGAGAGAAAAAAAATTAAAACAAAAAAAAAGAAAAGAAAAGAGAACAAGAAAGAGAAAGAGAGAAATGAGAGGAAGAAAAAGAAAGCTAGAGAGAGAGTGTGAGAGAGAAAGAGAGAACAAAAAAGTAAAAAAATAGAAAAGAAAGCTTGAATACAACTTCTTATCCACAAAATTGTCACCAATCGCTTCAATATTTTTCTTTCAATACAAACGCATTGTACCAATTTATTTTAGAAGCTGTAAAAAAAAACTTTCATTCTGATATTAAAACTTGGATAAAATAACTACTCTAGTTTTTAGAGGTATTCGACAAACAATTTTTTTAAAGAATTTTTAGCTTGAAGAGTTCAAAATGTTGTCCTCTTTTCGTTCTAT